AAGTAGAACAAGATAAGTAAGATCACTAAATCTTAATTGCACCCAAACGAAATACATAGCAATGACTAGTAATTACTGACGTCGTAATTAACTTACTGCCATCCTAATCTCAGTTCTTGGGCTGGTATGGCTCTGGCGGGCATGTGGCTTGTCGGAGGAGAGCACCCAAAGCTTCCGCACGGTGCCGTCGAAGCTGTAGCGTGCGCCGGTCGACTCGTCGAACGGGAGCTGCAGCGCGAAGTTGCTCTCGCCGAGCCTCACCGCAGTGAACCCATCGGTCGGGTCGGCGGTTCTGGGTGCCCGTGTGCCCCTGGCCGCAACGCATGACCAGGACGCCAAGAAGACAAGCAGAGAAACACTAATCCAAGAGAGAGCGCGAGGAGCCATGTGTACTCTATAGTACTATGTGTGTAGCTTCTGCTTTGTCTTAAATTGTGCTCTGGATGCAGAGACTTGTGATGATGAGATGGGTGGGACTAATCAAGTTCCCTCTGGTTTATATAGGCCTTGGCGATCTATCAGTCTACTAGGATAGGAGAATCCACAACTTAATTAAGAGTGATGCTAGAGTCACGGGCAAGGTTTTACGGAGTTCACGGATTGATCTTAGCTGGCCTTTGCTGATTAGATTAGGGAGGGTGGAGGGTCCACACCCCTGAAAATCGGGGGGAGAGAGTTAATTTGTGTGAAGAGAGCACGTAAAGGTCCGTTGTTTGTCCGTTGATGTAGGATTATCGCTTAATTAAATAGTAGTAGTACTCTCGTGAACTTGAGTAGGGCGTTTCGGCGCCCAGGCTAATCTGCACCCGGTTAGAAAAAATTCGTAAAAAATTCAAAATAAATTCAAAAAATTTCAAGTTTTTTTGTGCGGTAAACAATTTGATGCGTGAGGCCTGCTCCAAATTTCAAGTCATTTGGGCATTTGAGCAGCTCTCAGCAAAAAAGATAAATCGGACCAAAACAGTGCGTGAACAGTAAACATTTTTACCGGCCCTCCATTTGTCTTTTTTGATGAGAGCTCCTCAAATGTCCAAATGATTTGAAAATTGGAGCGGGTCTCACGCATCAAATTGTCTACCTCATAAAAAATGAATTTTTTTGAAGTTTTCTAGTATTTGTTTGATTTTTTTCGTCAGCATGGGTGCAGATGAGCTCGGGTGCAGAGATGGATTTTCGCGTGAACTTTTTTCTTTTTGAAATGTACTCTCGTGAACTTTAATTAGACGCAGAGGGTACGTTGGACGCATGCAGCTTGAGTTGTCCAACGTGATACTGACTGACTTCTGAGTAGGTAACGTGAACAGGCGGCAATTAGCATTAGCGGCACCTTGTTATTTTTGTGTTACCGACGGGAATTCAACCCTCCTACGTGGTAATAAATCTGCTGTATGTCTAGGTGAACACGGTGGTTCAATTTTGGATGACAGCAAGGAGTAAACAATATAAATTATTCTTCAGCTCGACGGAGGATACTTGAGTTTTTACCTGATATTTTTAACTGACGTACGTGCATGCGTTAGAGACTACTAGTAGAAATAGCGTGAGGGTAAATACATCCGTGCCCACCCATGCACACCTACATATAGAAATAGATGTGAGGAAGAAAGTCCCAATCGTAGTTTTACTTTCATCCTCTTCGCGAAAGCGGCTGTTCCTTGCGAAAAAAAAGGTTCACGCAAAAATCCATCTCTGCACCCGAGCTCATCTGCACCCATGCTGACGAAAAAAATTAAATAAATACTAGAAAACTTCAAAAATTTCCATTTTTTTGTGAGGTAGACAATTTGATGCGTAAGGTCCGCTCCAATTTACAAATCATTTGGACATTTGAGGAGCTCTCATCAAAAAAGACAAATGGAGGGCCGGTAAAAATGTTTACTGTTCACGCACTGTTTTGGTTCGATTTGTCCTTTTTGCTGAGAGCTGCTCAAATGCACAAATGACTTGAAATTTGGAGCAGGCCTCACGCATCAAATTGTCTACCGCATAAAAAAACTTGGAATTTTTTGAATTTATTTTGAATTTTTTACGAATTTTTTCTAACCGGGTGCAAATTAGCCTGGGCGCCGAAACGCCCTACTCAAGTTCATGAGAGTACTACTACTATTTAATTAAGCGATAATCCTATATCAACGGACAAACAACGGACCTTTACGGGCTCTCTTCACACAAATTAACTCTCTCCCCCCGATTTTCAGGGGAGCATCGGATCCTTGAACTCTGAAGAAATGCAAGTTTGCCACTCTCAAAGCACTCTATTAAAATCCCTGAATACCGCTTCGACCTCTCGATAGTTGTGGGACCTCAGTCTCAGATGCAACAGGCATCATGCGGGCCCTCAAAACGTCCGCAAGCGTCCGGATGCTGCAAGCCAGCCAACACAGGCATGTATTTGTTCGCGGACGAGTCCACGTGTCCGTTTTCCTGTAAACCAAAAGTAAACAAACTAGGAGTCCAAACCTCGGCTGTGTAGGACTCCGACATGCCCGGCACATCCAAAACAAGGCGGAGACTGTACATTCGGAGCGGTACGTACTTTTGAGGTGCCACCCCTTCCCCTTCCCCCATCTCTGCTTTGATCGCCGCCGCCATCCACCCTTCCCGCACCTCTCGCTTCTTTCGCAACATGGACCCATACGAAAAGATAAAGGAGACGACAGAGGTGGAGGATCCCAAAAAGGTGGCCGCTCGGAAGATCATCTCGGTGACATGGCAAGCCCGCTGCCTCAAAGCGAAGGCAGAGGACGTGGTGGCTAGCAAAAAGAAGGGCGGCGGGGGCGGCCACAGGCAGGGTGCATGGGCCAGGACGCGGGGCGCCGCCGCCGTCTGCATCACTGTCCATGCACACATCGTCCTGGAAGGAGCAATATCAGCCCCCCTTTTTTACACCGCCAAGAAGCTTGGCCTGCAGTCACCGACCTCCGCCGCCAAGCATATGCCATATTGTATCGACGTCAACACGGTGCCGCTCCCTTTTGCCGACTCGACATCGACGCAGCTTGTCTAGTTGCGGACGCTGGGTGTGGATCAGTCTGGTGCCTACTCTCTGTTCGCCAGCATGTCTCAACGGGGCGACCTGGCGTATGACAACGTAGATATGCATTTGTTTGAGATGATCAACGACGGAGGCAAAGACTACTTCGAGGATGTACAAGTGGATGACTCGAAGCCATAGGTGCACCCTCAGCAACAAGGCATGTACACCTAGCCGGGCACGCACATCCAATGACAAAAAATTGTACAACGGGCAGCTGGAGCAGGGCACTATTACGGCGACGACGACCTTGATTCGGAGGATTGGACGGCCAATTCGAAGAAGATAGGTAGAGGAGAAAGTTTCAACATGCGAGAGGATGAGTTATTGTGCGATGCGTGGTTGACCACTAGCCTCTATCTAATCCATGAAACTGAGCAAAATAGCGCAACATTTTTGTCCAATATCCATTCTTGGTTCCACAATCACAAGAATTTCAAGCCATATTGCAACGAACTCATCCTCAGTCGTTGGACAAAGTCGCTTAACCATCGATGGTACACCATCCAAGAGGTTGTGAGCAGGTATTACGGTCATTTAAAACAACTAATCGTTCATGGAAAAGTGTTCACTAATCACCGAGCAGTAAGTTGTTATATGTGTTGGAAATTTGGTCGGTAATGTAACTTATTGGCTGAATATGCTCTCTGTGTTGGTCTTTTGACAAGATATGCAACTTGTTGACAATGTTTTTCTTTCTAGCCCTCCTATGAGTGCAACATGTTCTTGAAGGTGGAGAAGAGGAACTTTCTCCTCATGTATTCTTTATTGAAGTTGAATGAGCAACCCAAGTGACGACTATCCATTGCCAACTCCATCAAGACTACTGGTATCGACACTGAACAAGAAGAGGGTGATCCAACCGATCCAACAAAATAATCACCCATGAATGTTAGAAGGGTGTTTTGATTAAAGAAGTGGGAGGAGGAGAAGGGGAAGGAAGAACGGAAGGCGGCCAAGATGACGGCGAGGATCGAGAACATCTTGGCGGTGAAGGGGAGGCGTGTGCTAAGCACTTCGACGTGAAGGAGGAAAAGAAGGCAGAGAGATTTAACATCTTGATAATCATTGTTGACGTCCTGAAACGCCTGATCAATCGCGCAACCCAAACAGACAAGCTACATCACCTCATCAAAGACAACTTTAAACCTCCGGTTCTTCGGTATGCCGATGACACTTTAATCCTTCTCTGGGCAATAAAAGATGTGCAAAAAGTCCTTAAACAAATCATGTACAACTTTGCCGCGGCAACGGGTTTCCAACTGAAATTCAAAAAAACCATGTTCCTGACACTAAAATGTAAGTGATGAGGACAGATCCTTGCGACTGATCTCAACAGCAAGCCAGCTGCATCCTTTCCACAGACCTATCTAGGTTTTCCACTATCACCTACCAAACTACACTCAACGCACTTCGAACCCCTTGTTGACACGTTTGATAGACATCTCTCTGGTGGGAGAGCTCTCTAAAGGGAGGGAGGTCAGTTCTTCTTTCCCATGTTCTTAACTTGCTGTAGACTTAATGGGATCTTTCACTGTACTCAAACTACTCATTGAGTGGTTTGACAAAAAAATGAAGATACTTCTTCTGGTCAAACAAAGACACCTTCTTTGGGCCACAATGCCGCGCTTTTACTTACTGTGGAAGATCTGGGATGCTGACAATTCGGTCGTCTGCAGACAGTAAAGACTTCGGCCAAACTGATGTAATCAGCAATGTGATAATGAACCTTAGTCTGTGGTCACATAGACTTAAACGTCTTGAAGAAAGGGATCATGGTGGTCTGTGGCGTGATTTCTTCTCTTCAAGATAGAACAAGTTGGATCTCATAACAAACAAACATTGAACTCCATCGATAAAAGGTACAAACATAATTCGAATTATTTGAAGATTGCTCACCACACCTTCCGCGTGGTAGTACAAACATAACAACTCCCTCAAACATACACGTAATAACAAAGTAATTCTAATGTTTCTTGAGGATCCTCACTTGCTTCCAGCGAGACTCCATGCGGCTGGAGTCGTGGTTCTGCGCGTACACGCCGAACTTGAAGAAGTACGAGTGGCCGCCGCGGCCGTGCACACGCAGCTTCTGCTCGCCGTCGATGTACACGGTGAGTGTCGACGCCTTGACATCGTGGACCACGTTCAGCCGGAACCACCTGTCATAGATGTTGTCCTCGACTAGCTGCCGGTCGTAGTAGCGCAGCGCACCATCGTAGACGCGCAGCATGAACGTGCTGGCCCCGTCGCTGGCGCCGAACACCTGCATGATACACACCCCCGTCGTGCCGGAGGGGACGTACCCGTAGCCCTCGAACTGCCACACGCCGGAGCTATAGTCGTAGCCCTGCAAGTAGAAGAAGATCAGCATGACATCTAAATCGTCATTACAGCCCCAATACAATCGTAACAATGATGTGATGATTAACTTACTGTCATCCTGATCTCAGTCCTTGGTTTTGTTCGGCTCTGGCGGACATGGGGCTTGTCGGAAGCGAGCACCCACAGCCTCCGCACGGTGCCGTCGAAGCTGTATCGTGAGCCGATAACCTGGTCGAACGGGCGTTGTAGCGCGAAGTTGCTCTCGCCGAGCCTCACCGCCGTGAACCCATCGGTCGGGTCGGCGGTTCTGGGTGCCCGTCCGCCCCTGGCCACAACGCATGACCCCGACGCCATGAAGACAAGCAGAGAGACACTGATCCAAGAGAGAGCGCGAGGAGCCATGTGTACTAAGCTATGGAGTACGCGTGTAGCTTCTGCTTTGCCTTCAGTTGTCTCTCTATGCAGAGACTACTTGTGATGATGATCAAGTTCCCTGTGGTTTATATAGGCCTTGGCGATTTATCAGTGTACTAGGATGTACATCATTTTATTGGGGGGAACCTCTTTCGTTAGGAGTAGGACTCTTGTCACATGCAGATTTATCAAAGTACGTTGGACGCATGCAGCTTGAGTTGCTCAACATGACCGACGGCACCTTGTTATTTTGTGTTACCGACGAGAATTCAACCCTCGTACGCGGTAATAAATCTGCTGTCTGTCTAGGTGAACACGGCGGTTCAATTTTGGATGACCGCAAGGAGTTAAGACAAAGGAAATTCATCTTCTGCTCGACGGAGGATACTTGAGTTTTTATTTTTACATGGTGTTTTCAACTGACGTGCATGCTGTAGAAACTAGCATGGGGGCAAATACATCCGTGCGCACCCATGCACACCTACATAGTCGAGGAAGATAAAGTCTCAATCGTAGTTCTATTTCATCCGCTTCGCGAAAGCGGCTGCTTCTTGCGACCTCAGCTGGGATTCGGGGAACAAAACTAATCAGAACAGATAGTGTGAGCATCAAATCTTTGAACTCTGCAGAATTAAAAATTCGCTACTGTCAAAACATTCAGGTAGAACCCTGTGTACCGCCTCAACCTGTTGACGGGACGTCGATCTCAGATGCAACGGACATCATCTCTACTTGTTTTTATCCGGGCTAAACCCCTTTCCATTACTCACATACGAAAACACATCAGTTTACAGAATAGAGTAAAGGGGACGAGAAAGAGAAAAACGAGTTCTACAATAGCATGAAACCTATCGCACTCACGCGCAATTGAAACACGAGTACTATGGGGCGAAAACCTGCTACACTTATTCAGAGTTCAAACTATCCTAACCAACAAACCACCAGCCTAGCAGGGAAGGGCATTACGATATGCAAACGGGATTGCTAAATCTCGGTCGACTAAGACTTAACCAAGTCTCAATCCATGCTATATCCGTGGGATCTTACATGAAGATCCGTGCAAAATTTTCTTCTTAGTTTTTTTTTCTTACATGTTATGTCACTTGACTTGACTTGGTTAAAGTCTCAGTCGGCTAAGACCTAGCCACACCCACAACTGCTCATATGCAAAACAGACAGACATAGCTACACAATAAAGCGAGTGAAGTAGCGGCGAAAACCCCTCCCGCCGACAAACCCTTCAAATTTTCAGCTTCCCGCCGACACTTGAGCATCATGAGTGGTTGCACAAATCATCATGTTCACAACACTGGATCTAAGCAGCTCTGCTCCTCTTTTTAGAGTATCAACATTCTTAGCCTTCTGAATCCCTTCCCAAGACAACAAAGAAGAGCAAGCATCGAAGACGATCTCAAAGGAGTTCTTAGGATATTTCCTTCAAATTAAGTTTGCTCTGTTATGAAAATTTCAAATGCACAAAATAATTGAGCAAGACCAACAGTACACAAATGTTCACATTTAGGTAGGAAACAGTAGCACCAAGAGAAGCATTGCCAAATATTATCTGGACGCCAAGCAACATGACATAATCTTCACTTACCGTTTCGCACCAAGCAGATGTGCTTGTAGACATAGATCTTCGATCTGATGGGCTTGAACCATCGCTATTCATGATCTGATTTTTTTATCAGGCTTTATGTATTAACGATTGAAAAGCGTCGAGGTATTTATGAAAATAGATATAAGGGCCAATTGCATGTTTGCCCTTAACTAAGTCCCACTAATAACATTTGTCCCCAATTTTCAATCAAGCTCACTTTTGCCCCTCTTAAGTTACATGTCTCTACGGAAATACCCTTTCACGTCGTTTCCTTTCAGTTAAAGGGCTTTGATCATTTTCTTTTGTCTAAAATGCCACTGGGCAGTGGCAACTGGCATTTAGGTAAAAATCAAAGAAAAACTAGGCGATCCTCTCTCTTACAGGTGGGAACCATTCATAAACAAAGGAAAGTGAAAGAACTCTCTCCCATCTCTCTTACAAATGGGATCCATATGCGAAAAAGAAAACAAAAAAATCTCACTCGGGGGTTTGGTTAGGGGTGATGGGTGCCCAAGTGTGGTGGAGCGCAGATAGCTACCTAGCAACTGGTAGACCGGTCACATGGCCTAGTGGTCGCAACCGCATGCACAAAGCTTGTGGCAGCGCGCAGGATCGAGATGGGAGTCTCTGGCGCGGTCGGAGCAAGGCGACAAGGCACGGCTGCTCGGGGACGCGCACCATGATGAGTGTATTTTAGCACTCATTCTATCCTTGTTTACTAATGACTAATAAAAGTGAAAGATGGCAAATCCCTTTGTTTCTTTGTTCCTTGCATTTGCATGAATGAGCCATTTTAGGAGAAAAAACAAGTCATACATAGAGAATACAGAGCTAGGCGATCAAGACCAATCAATTGGAGGTGCGCAGCAGCCTCTGGAAAAGAAGGCAGCACCTGTTACTAGCGCTTGCGCTCGTACCGCACGACACGGGGTCCCTGATCTTAGCAGCATCCTACTTCGTAAAGGATCTAAGGCCTAATTTCCCGCTATTTTTTTTAAATAATACTTTTTTGATTAATTTTCAGAAATATTACACCAAAATTATTTTTTTCAAAAAATATACATAGCCGGCCATCTCACTAGTGCAGAACCGGGCTATAGCACCGGTTCGTAAGGCCCTTTAGTGCCGGTTCTGTAACCGACACTAAAGGGTGGGGACTAAAGGTTCCCCCTTTAGTACCGGTTCTGCACGAACCGCCGCTAAGAGCATCTCCAGCCGTTCGGCCCCCCAGGGCGCCGAAAAAGAGCGGCCTGGGGGCGAACCGGCGCTAGATCAGCCCCTGTGGTTCGTTTCTCCCCAGCCACACGCCCAGGTACCGCCCCCCGAAGGCGTTCCATATTCGAAATCCATCATTCCCGCTCAAAAGAAACAACAAACCGGCGATCATCACAATAGTTCGGCGATTCGGTGCCACAGTTCGGCGATCAAACGTAGTTCGTCATACAAAAGAGGAAGGACGCGGAAGGAGTGCATCAAACGTCGATCTCAACCTCCGGCGGCGGCGACGGCGGCGTACGTGGGCTGGAAGGAGTCGGCGCAGCTTCCGGGCTGTTCGGCGCGGCTTCTGTGCTGGGCGTCACGGAGGCATCGTCATCAGCCATCGGGCTGGGCGGCGGCGTCGGCGGCGCCGGTATCTGGTTCAGGATGAGGCTGCGGTCGGCCAAGAACCACGCCTTGAGCTTCTCGTCGCCGCTCTGGAGCATGTCAGCGCCGCCCATCAAAAAGGCGAGGTCATTGTTCCTCTTCTTGGCGTCTTGCGCTTTGAGCTTCGCGGCAGCGCTGGTCCGGAGCAAGTCGAGTTTGACGGCGTTGTTCATCATCAAAACAGCCCACCTCGCCCCTGTTTTCTCTTCTCGCTCGGCGGCTCATGCCATTTGTTGCACGCCGTTTGTATGAGCGAACAATGGTTCTCCATCGCCTTCGACCCTGCTTCATGTGCATGCCTTTGAAGTAGGGGTCGACGAGCTTCCCCTCGTCGAACTCGGCCTTGATGCGGTCCCAATACGTCTCGGTGCTTTGATTCATGCCGGTGACCGGGTCGAGGCAGACGACCTTCCACGCCTCGGCGAGGCACTCCTCTTCCTTAGACGCCCATTTGATGCGTGGCTCGCCGGACTTGGCCGCCTTCTTCTTCTTCTTCTTCTTGCCTTTTCTCGTCGGCGCCGGCTCCTCCTCCTCTTCTTCCTCCTCCTTTGGCTCTTCCTCGCCGTAGTCGAGCTCGTCGTCCATGTCGGCGAGGTCAATTGAGTCGTCCTGCGCAGTGAACCCGGGGAAAGCGGCGGCGGCGCAGCCGAGCCGGCTGCAATGATGTCCTCCATGTTGGCCTCCGTCGTGTCGGCGTCGCCGAGATGCGACGAGGATGAGGCTTGTGAGTAGAGGCCGCGGCGAAGAGGTGGTGTCGGTGAGGCTGCGTAGTCCGTCAGCGAGTACGTGTACGACGGGTACTGCACGCCGGCGAACGCGGGCGAGGGCTTGCGCTGGACTGGGCGCCCATGGGGGAAGGTGATGTTGGGGTTGAAGCCACCATGGGCGTCCCCATCGGCATAGCCAGGCGAGGGCGTGCTCCATGAGTGCGGCGACGCCGAGAACCCGGCCGGAGAGTCGACGCTTTTCTGGATCCAGGCCACGTGGTGCGGGTACCCACCGGGTGGATTCATCACCGCTGCCGCGCGCGCCGCCCCCGCTTGTTCGGCCCCATGCTCTGCCACCGCCGCAGCCGCAGCGTGCACCGCTTTTTCCCTGGCCTTCTTGGCCCTGTTGCGCCTGTCGGCGGTGACGGCCTCTCAGCGCTCCACATCCGCCTTCCACTCGTTGTTGGTCATGCCGGGGGCTTGGACAGCGGAGCCCTCGGCTTCCTTGGCTTCGGCTGGGCGGCGGCGGCGGTGGGATCCGTCGCGGCGCGCGGCATCACGTACTTCTTCGGCGGCATGGAGGGCGGAAAGGCAGGGAGGGGCGTAGGGGGGTTGGCGGGAGGAATGCAGAAGAGAGGGGGGAAGCGGGAGGAAATAGCAGGAAAAGGGCTTCCAGTCGCCGAC